GATGTAAGTGCTATGTGGGTCACTTTGAACACATATAAGTGTTATATGTTATGTCTATGTATGCATAAAGCTGACAACTAATCTAGAACATCACAAATTAGAATGTAGTTGTCTATAATATATTGTGTGATTCTTTTTTAGCTCTGCTGTCAACACAGTAGAGCTGTTCATATTACTGATTGTCCGTTACCGGTCGTCAACATTACAATTTCAACTTCTTGGAAACCGCATGTCAGAATGTTTTCAAATTTGATATGCAAATACCTTGGAAGGTTCTTTCTCAGATTTGTTCATTTCATGTCAAAATCTCAAATTTCTATTGTTGATAAATATTTTTGTCATTTTTGGTAAAAAGTGATATTTTCAACTACTTTGATATTACATATATAGGTACTATATGTGGACCTCTCTCAGATTTGTTCATGATTATATCTTTATTTTCTCTAATTTTGATGAATATATTTGTAATTTTTGGTAAAAAGTGATATTTTTGATTTCTTGTTAAAAACCACAAGTCTGATTGTTCTGATACTATACATATTGTTCATTTTCTAGTGATATCTTCAGTTCTTTAATTGAAATGTGCATTGCTAACAGCGGAGCTATCTCAGCCGACAGGCTGCTTGTTAAACACTCTCATAGCTATAGATACAGGACGTTACACCAAGGATTCACTATCCCTATTGCTAGCTATTTTACTTTCCCACTGGCACTAGATTTAGATATCCCTCTATGATACATCCACTGATGCCCTATAAAGTTGTGAACAATGTTATAAACGAAATCAACAGTTAACATAAATATTACAATATAGGTGAAAGTCACCCAACAAATTCAAGACCACACTGAGCCACAAGAAGTACGTAAACTCAAGAGAGGAGACTATTTTGGAGAAAGAGCATTATTGAGGTCAGTAAATCTCTGTTGTATTAAACCTTTTAGCACATTTGGTGCAACATTTTGCCTATCTTTGTATACCAAACGTTTTTTGGTTTGCCTCGTAATGAAGTGAATAGAAAGTCATAGAGTGGAAAAATGTCTGTCATTCGTTTTTCGACATTGAAATTGATGTCGTCACAAACTTTTCTTGCGGGCCCAATAACTCCAATATACAGATATAGTAGGTCTGTTTAGATTTTTGGTAATTTTTTGAAGTTGTATTAATATAATGTCTATTAGAAGACTAGTAGTGCAATGAGTGTGTTAAAACCTTTTCTTTGCAAGTGGATTTTCAAGAGATAAATTTCTAAAAACAAATTTTGTTTACTTATTTATTTTATCTGTTCTTTCGTTTGAAAGAGGAATTCTCTGATTTTCATTTTTTTTTTTTTTTTGCCTTTTCCAGCCTTTTCTTATTATGTCGCATTTTTGTTTGTAAATATTATCAATAGAGGGAGCCCTATTTGAACTATTCGTTCAATAACTTCAGTCAATTTAATAACAAATATTTGCTAGAACTGTTCCCTTGTTTCACCTTATTAAAAGAAAAGGGCTAAACCATTCATTATCATAAACCTTATATTGCTCGGCCTCATAACGCTATGGTAAGTGCGCCCTCGCATCAGGGCAATAATTTGCCGTATCACGTCCGAAACAAAACGCGTCATTCTAAATTACGTGATGTGTTTGAGGCCATACTGTGGTGAAATTGTAATTACACCTGTACGGTATATGATAAAAACTTTTATGGACTGGATACGACTGGATACAAATTAAAATTTCATTTTGTGAAAGATGACAAAAGTTTTGTTCCATTTCAGTGAAGATGTTCGCACAGCTAATGTCATAGCTGAAG